TCTCTAAATCTAATGTCAACATAGTTCCCAATGACTTAGTCTGTGTGGTAGGCAAAGATGCTGCAAATGTTGGAGGAGTGTTTTTCTTAGCTGGTTTACTCATGTTCCTGGTTTTTTAAAAAAAATCTTTTTATTCTGTTATACAACTAGTCACTCAGTATCTTTGCTATTTACCCCTCCCCCTTATTTTCTATCTTACCAGGTTCAATACTAAAATATCAGAGCCAATATCAAGCCATACATTAAACTCAATATGATAGATATCTTCCCAATCCAGACCCCCCCAAAAAAGTTTTTTTTCACTTAAATTATTCTACCAATTTATAATACTTTAAATCTGACATTCATCAAATAAAAATTCTCTAAGTATTTTATTAGTACATACATACACGAACACACAAACAAACCCAGGGGAGAAAAGATGGACAGATTTCAGGCCTCTTCAACCATTTCTGAATCTCTTCAACAGTCCAAGCACCTCCTGTGTTTCAGGTGTCTTCACAATTCTCCAGATCACAATTAAGTTCCAGTTCCAAATTAGTTAGCTCCAAATATATTCCAAGTGAAAATTGAAAGGTAAGCAGATTCAAAACCAATAGCAGATGGAAAATAATGAAGGTAATCCAAAATTTTTATATTCCAACCAGGTAAGATCCAGGTAAGATTCAGTAAAGTCTAACAGGTACGTGGAAAAATCCAGCAAAAAATGTGGAAAATACAGCCAGTGTTTTCAAAATTTATAATCCAAAGGTAGATATGAGAGTATCCAATGTTTTCCAGCTTTACAGCCCAACCAAAGTGGGCAGATTTATAATCCAACCAAGGTGTGGAGCAAAATAGCTTTTAACTTCTAATTGCCACTTCTAGTTACCGTCCAGCTTACATAGTTCAGTCTTCCTTTCCCCTCAACACACACGAAAACCAAATCCAGTTGAGATGTCTATTTATGATTGCTTCTAATTTATTTACTCCCTTTAAGTACAGCTTTTCTCCATCTCAGGTAGATACGCAAAAGTGAAAATAAACTGCACGTAACAAGCAGAAAAGGAGGGGAGTGACCAGGCTTTAAAAGCTGTCTCTCATCTTCGTTCCCACTCAAAAAAGTCCGTGTATTTAAAGTCAGATAGCCAAGTAGGGAGGGTAAACCTTTAAGTCTTTAACTCACAGTTTATGACGTTTGCAGGCAGATTCTCTTTGCTGTTTTTCTACATTGTTCCGTGCAAGCAGCTGAGTGCCAAGATGGCGCTGTGCCCGCTGAGATATCGGGGCTTATCTCCGGGTCTCAATCCCCGGTCTAGCCGAGAGAAGTGACCCAAGAAATGCACCCTACTGTTTTCAAACCCCCTCCAGGGCCTCCTTGGGTCTAGAGCAGTGATGGCGAACCTTTTAGAGACCGAGTGCCCAAACTGCGACCCAAAACCCACTTATTTATCGCAAAGTGCCAACAATGCAATTTAACCTGAATACTGAGGTTTTACTTTAGAAAAAACAACTCACACATTAACTTAAGATGATCCAAACAAAGTAAGGAAAGCAATCCCAAATGCTTTCATTTACTTAAAATTATTTGGCAGAGAATTCGACACTTTAATGATGGTCTGGGCCTGGCTGGGGCGATGTCACGCGTGCCCACAGAGAGGGCTCTGAGTGCCACCTCTGGCACCCGTGCCATAGGTTCGCCCCCACTGGTCTAGAGTCCTCTAGACACACACACCCAAAGTGGGCCAGTTCAGAACATCCCAGGAGCTCCTTTGGACATTACTGACCTTGCTGCTGCATCCACTGGAAGCTGACCACTCCCAGCTTTTGAAGCTCCAAGAAACAACACATGAATCCTATTAGTACCTTTAAGACCAACAATGTTTAATTCTGGGTATGAGCTTTTGCGTACATGTGCACGCACATGAAAGCTTATAACCAGAATAAAACATTGTGGAACATGAATCCTATGACATCATTCCTCTACTTGCTTTTCTTTGGCCTCTGCAGAGGCATTCCTCCAACATGGCATTCACTCTGCCACCAGCATTTCTTCATGTGGAAGATTAAGTGTGTTTCGGGAACCCTTATGCATGCAGACGCTCTAGCAGCATAGGAAGCAGGCTCTGCAGTGGTGTACAGCCGCCACAGCATTCACAGAGACGTGCAAGGGAAAGACATCACAAGATCCAAGCCACAAAATGAAGACACATGAGGAACATAAAATGTGAAATGCATCAAAAAGTTAGTAAACGTCTACATTTGAGGATCTCTTTGAGCGTGAGGCCCAGCGCAAATGGCCGTCCTGTCCCCCTACTGATTGTTCGCGCTCCCTACCCCCCATTTTAGCCTGAAAGCAACCCTGTTTTGAATTTTATTATCTCCCTTAGTGGGTTGTGCAAACCGCTAATCTGAATTAAGCTTTTTATAGGTAAGGTAGGGTAAGGGACACTGGGGATGAGTTTATAGAACCAAGGGGGCGATGACCCAAAGAAGTTTGGGAACCACGGTTCTAAACTTCTCTGCAAAAATACTCATTATGTGACCTTTTATTAGGCTTGCCAAGTCCCCCCGGGGGGTGGGGAAACCCCGCCCCAGAGGCCCGTTCCCCGCCGCTACCAGATCGGGCCCCGGGGGGGACTCCGCCCTGACGTGCACGTCACCAGGAAGTGACGTGACGACGCCGGGCACGCTGGGGGCAGGGCCACGGTCATCCGAGGGAAAACTCGGATGGTCGTGGCCCTGCCCCCAGCATGCCCGGCGGCGTCACGTCACTTCCTGGTGACGTGGATTTGGCGCGCTCTCCGTGATCGGCCCGGGAGTCCCCCGCTGCGGAGGAAGGTAACACTTGGCAACCCTACCTTTTATGAAAGTAAAAACCATGAGAACCAGATAGATTCAGGTGGGTAGCCATGTTGGTCTGAAGCAAAAGAACTAAGCTTGAGTCCAGTGGCACCTTTAAGACCAAAAAAAATTAATTCTGGGTATAATTGGGGGTATAATTCTGGCTTTTGTGTGCATGCCCAATTCTTCAGAAAGTATGTGAAGAAGCATGCATGCCCATGAAAGCTTATACCCAGAATTAAAGTTTGTTGGTCTTAAAGGTGCCACTGAACTCAAACTCTGTACCAAGTCTTAATTTTTAATATTTTATACAATAGTTCAGTAGTGTCCAAAGGACTTCACATGCTCATAGAATCATCACATATCTTAGAGCAAAAATACAGCAAGGCAGGTTAGTGCTACCATTATTACAATATTAAATTGCAGACATGAAGCAGTGACAGACAATATCTTGCCAAATGCCACCTACAATTCACGGCACAGCTGTGATCTGAACCAGTGACTTTCTGCCCACAGCTCACACTTGGTCACTAAACTACACTAGACTCAAAACACTATTGTACAGCAAATATTAGATGTCAATATATCACGTTGCTTCAAAATCACATTTTGTTGAGGATAAATCACATTTAAGCATTTATTTACTTATTTCAGCAACCTTGGCTCTCCATCTCCATCCTTACTTATTTCAGCAACCTTGGCTCTCCATAAATTTACCGTGCCTAAATGAATTGTGGTTACATAAACTGAAAGGGAAAATGTGTTGTTTCTTAACTAATTGCAATATATGATATTAAATGCATGTTTTTCTGACCAAATTCAACATATCACATTTTCTACAGCTTTGTACTTACATTAACTCTAAATGCTTGTACAGTGTTATCTAGGAGTAGAATATTGCAGACCACCTCTGTATGCTGTCTGTCTCGTGCCAGCTCAGATGCTCGGACATTGTAGGTTCTGCCAGCAGGCAACCGGAAACGTGCGGTCATTACTGTCCACACAGCGTCTTAAGGGAGAAAAAGACAAAGACTATTATAGTTTAAAGCCATAAGAACTTGCAGGTTGGATTCCACAAGAAAAATCAGTACAAAACTATGAAGTGTTCTGATAAATATTATATATTCCTACAGGTTTCATGTTGCAACAAGTATGAGCAAACTTTCACCATCCTTAGTAAGATTCTGGATTTTGGTACTACGTTATTTCCTATATACAAAGTGTTAAAATGTACAGTCTCACTGACCATGGCAATTACATTTACTTGCTCACTAAGGCTGAAATCCTAGGCATGCTTACCTGCCACAAGCCCTCCTAGATATAGTATAGGTGAATTCCAAGATTGTGTTGTAGGTTAAATATGAGTATCTTAAAGAGCAGTGGGTCAGGATTTTCATGCTAATTTTGTAAAATAGATGTGTCATGTGAAGAAATGGATGCAAAATTAAACTAAAGCACAGATACAAGTCATCAAGCAGTTTCTGAAGGATATGTGAATGTGTGACTGTAAGACCTGCTTTATCCATTATATAATACTAGAAATAATGCCCGTTGCGGAAATAAATACAACGGGATCTAGAAAGAGGCTCTGGGAGAGTGCTCTGGCTTTGGGATAATCTCTGCCTAAAACTTTTTCTACATGGTGAGGTTTCCATGTTGCTACTTCACTACAGGTAGCTCATTAAACGTATATGCAATTTTATGGAAGCTAAAGACAATCTGCAGTACTAGTTTTCATTGGCCCTTAGGTTGCACTTAAAATAGCATCACAGGACTTCATTTAAACATTTGTGCTTCCAATATTTGAACATTATTACACAATTATGAGGGGGGAAATCACACAAAAGCACTGCACGTTCCTGGGGGCCACCTGACACTGCCATGGAAACTTTACTGAATTTATTTCATGTTCAGTATTATGTGCGAGCGCTGAGCGCCGAAGAATAGATTCTTTTGAACTATGGTGCTGGAGAAGACTCTTGAGAGTCCCTTGGACTGCAAGAAGATCAAATCAGTCAATCCTAAAAGAAATCAACCCTGACTGTTCCCTGGAAGGCCAGATAATGAAACTGAAGCTCAAATACTTTGGCCACCAAATGAGAAGGGAGCACTCACTGGAGAAGACCCTGATGCTGGGAAAGATTGAAGGTCAAAGAAGAAGGGGACAGCAAAGGATGAGATGGTTAGACAGTGTTATCGAGGCAACGAACATGAAATTGAGTGAACTCCGGAGCATGATGGAAGACAGGAGGGCCTGGCGTGATGTGGTCCATGGGGTCATGAAGAGTCGGACTCAACTGTGCGACTGAACAACACCTATGAACCTTATAAATGGGCCTTTTACAGAGCCCGTTTTGAGGCACTCCCTTATGCTGTACTGCAAGGTAAATTCACTCGAGTCCCAATGCATGGACGTATATGCCCATGCATGGCTAATATGGTGGAATCAATTACTCATGTCCTCCTGTTCTGCAGATTCTATCAGGAGGAACGAGACCATCTTATACTACCCCTTCTGTCTAGATTTAGCCCTTTGCAGTCTTATCTGGACTTTAGGCCAGAAGTCCTTCGTAAATTCCTCTTAAAAGACATTCAGAGCTCAGTGACTTACGCTGTGGCAAAATTTTGTTGCTTAGGTATTAGGAAACGCAAACTTATTTTAGCTCAAAAATTGTATGATTCTCTTATTAACACTATTTTACTTTACTAATGTTATTAACTCTCTCCTGTTAATGTTTTTATATTACTCCCATGTTATTAGTGCTTTAATCCCTTTTATTTCAGAATTATACTGTTTTACTAGCTCCTGCTGCAATAAATTAGATTGATTGATATATTTTACTTTTGTTTTAAAATTTTTTTTTAAAATGATGCCTGTTTGGGGGAGCTGATTTTAAAATGTGATTTTATTATGTATGTTTTAATTTGTGAGCTACCTTGGTGGCCCTTGTGAGAGCAGAAAAGTGGGATACAAATGCTGTAAATACATAAAAGAAATATGCTTCACATGGTGCTGCCTTTGAAGAACACTAAAGACCTCCATTCATTCAGAACAGGGATATAAAGTTTCCAGAAACACTGAAGATGTGGGGGGGGGGAACCCTTCTCTCCTCCACCGCAAAAGTGAAAAGGAAGTGTTGGGAACTTCTGGAATATATGCGCAACTTTTTAAAATAAGATCTAAAGTGTTTAAAGAACATGAAATTTACTATACATAACTAAATTAACCAAAAAGGTATTATTTGGTATATTTATGAAATTAAAAATCAGTTTTATTTTTTTTAAATCTACAGATACACCAAAAGTGTTGGCTATCAGCAACAAGTGGCAACTTAAGGCAGTCACGCATATAACAGTTTGCACCAACTGGGAAAAAATAGGAGGGAAAAAAGAGTTAAAATAGATCAACATTGCGCAAAGACATTTTTAAAATTATGTCTACTTAAAAACAGTGAGCATAACTATCCCAATGTGGGGCAGCACGAGAAGACGGTAGATGAATTTCTGTGCCACAGATATCCCTTCTGATGGTGTTACAGGGCTCTTCATAGGACTACGAGGCCAGAGATTACAGCATGAATGAGACAATGACTCTGTGGGGAAGGGTTTAGATTCATTAGGTGCTGGGAAAATATTGGGATAAGCTGACCCTATACAAAAGATACAGGATCCACTTGAACCAAAATGGAACCGATTACAGGAACTTATCAGAAAGGTTGCAGAGCAGGTTTTTAAAATAACACAAGAGAAGCCAACAAGTGCTTGACAGCATCCAGTTCAGGATAACTCATCTCTAAAGGATGACTGATTAAATGGTCTGGGTAATCTAGAAGAGGATGGATCAGAACCTGACAGTAAGGATGTGCCAGGAAATGACAGCTATTAAGGACACCTTAGGGTAAGAGGGGAATATGTTCACACTAAGGAGAATGAAACATGGCATATGTATTTACATGCAAAAGTTAGAAGCATTCAAGCTAAGATTGTAGCGATGGAGTGCTTTGTCTTAAACAGGAACACATCTATACAGGACATTTTAGAACCCTACTGGGACAGCAAAAAACAATCAGCTGGGTGCAGCTACCCCTGGGAATAGGGCACATAGTAAGGGCTGTCACAGGTGGAGTGACTCTGTGTGTCAGAGAGGGCAAAATGTCCAATACACCAGAATATAGAAGGAATAGATGCCCCATAGCATTGGTATGGATAGAAATACCAGACGTATAAAATCTTAGAACTGGGGACATACTACCCCCTCCAAGACCAAACCTGAGGGTGACCTTAAAAAGGAGAAAGAAGCAGAGAAGTGAAACAAAGGAGAAAGCTACATAATGAGTGACTTCAACTACCCCCACAGCGATTGGGTTAGTGTACTTTCAAAGTCATTAGAAAGAGACAGTGTTTCTTGATACAATACATGATGGTGCCTTGGAGCAATTGGTCACAAAGGTAAGTACTGAAAAGGTAACCTTGGACTTAGTCCTGAATGGTGCTCAGTTCCTGATGACAGAATTAAGTGCTATTGCAAGAACTGACAACAGTGATTATGGTACAACTAAAATTAGAATTTATGTGAATGGAATGACCCAAAAGTCCAACACGATTACATTTCATTTTAGCAAAGGGAAACTCAAAAAATGAGAAGATTCAAAAGAAAGCTGAAACAGAGGGTAAAGAAGGTTAAACTGCTTGCAAATTAATTTACAGTAATGGAAAACAGAACGTATACTGCACATTAAGAGATGTACAACCAAATCCAAGAGAAGGCCAGTATGGTTAAATAGCAAAGTCCAGTAAGCTACAAAAGGAAACTTTTAAATGGAAGCTTTATCCAAAGAGGGGGGGGGGGGGATTCCGGGGGGGGTTAGTTGACAATGTCAGACGAAAAGATAATTTGTGAAGCATATTGCCAAGAATATGAAGACAAAAAAAAGTCTTTAAATGCAACAGATGCTCAAAATGAGCAATTGAGGCAGCAGAGTCTTTGGATGGCAAAGGACTGAAAGGTTTACTAAAATGAGACGAGTGAGATTAAAGAGAAACTGAATGATTTTTTGTGTCTGTTTTCACTGTGGAAAACATGGCTCACTGCAGAACTGCTGTTCTCTGGAATGGTGTTAGAAGAACTAAGTCAAACAGAGGTGCTAGGAATTAACTTCTAGGACTAACAGACAAATTCAAAAGAAAACACTGACTCCAAATGCCATTCACTGAAGGGTTCTTAAGGAATATAAATGCAAATTTATTGACATACAGTTAATCTAATGTAAATTATTAAGCATATAAACAATTAACTCCATTAAGGAACAATTACTAAGGCTTTAGTAAAAGGAAGACTTCAAAATTAGAAACTGTGGACAGCGCCAAAAAACTCATATGTTTTCTTGTTTGGAATAAGAGAAATGCCATTTAAGACAAGATTTTACTCACTCATAATATGTCAACTGAAGACATTTTCATGTAAGATTACCCAAAGCATTCAGTAATGATAACTGCTGTGTATAGTGTACATATACATAGTTTCAAAGATACATGTCACTAATTTTGCTATGTGCACAGCAATTAAGAATTAAGTTTTTTCCATACTGTAATGTTAAAGGATTGGTTTCCTGTTTAAATGTGATTAATTTCTCCATAATATGCTGCAATGTGTATGGTAATACATTAAGAGTTAAATGTTTTCAATATATTATATTAAAATCTAGCCAGAATATGCTACTAGTGCTATTGTGACTGAGACTTTCTATCAAACTAACACTTTTAACATGGCAATCCTAAAAAAAAAAATTATTCCAATCTAAGCACACTGCTTTTAGTGGGTTTAGACTGGAGTAACTCTGTTTAGGATTGCACTGTTAAACTCCAAAATCTGTGTCCTGTTTTCACCTTTTATTTTTCCTGCTTCTCATATGGCAAAAACTAAGAAACATGGGTTCAAGTAGCACTGAATGCAGCAATTTGCAGTTCCCTCTCTCAAATACTGGCATATTCA